TCATCTATCTATCTATCTATCTATCTATCTATCTATCTATCTATCTATCTATCTATCTATCTATCTATCTATCTATCCATCTGTCTATCAATCTATCTCAGCTCCACTCCTGAAAAATAGTAGGCCAGGCATGTAGTCATATAGGCGTGTTCATAGCGCAATAAAAGATGTTTGCTCCAGTATTTTTAGAGGATATTATAATGTTCTGGTGAAAGATAGTTTGTTTGAGCCCCACATTCTCCTGAACCTACGTATGCCCTCTTCGGGGCCTAGTTCTCAATAATATGGGGCCACGGAGTACCCTTTGGTATCGCCATAACTTCATTTCAAAAGACGCTTTTAATTATGACCGGTATAATTAATTTCAAGATGTGGTTTTTGTTTGTTTTTGTTTTGTTTTGTTTGTTTGTTGTTGTTTTTGCTTTTTTGTTTGTTCTTTTTTTTTGGGGGGGGGTCGAAGTTTAAGTTACTTTTACTGCCGGGTCATGTAGACTAAAATACCGGTATTCTATAGAATAGAAGAGTAGACCTACGTACGCGGGCTTATATCTTTGTTTGTGTGTAATAAACTAATTTTAGATAGTTGATCTAGGGAATTGTCTCGAGTATCATGCGCGCCTCTATGCAAATTGGGGAAAAATCCCACCTCAAATTTGATTCTGAAAGATTTATAGGCATCTAGGCTAGATATATTCTATTCTTGTCCGTCAATCTCCGCAAGCTTGCTAGATCAAGCGCGCTGATCTAGATTCATTATATTATATTTATTTGGCTTGCATGCACTGAGGTGGTAAATAGTTTTGACGCCTCGGCTTGCACCCATTTAATAATACACTTTGTGTCGTATTTGAAGCTTCTAAATTAGGCTAAATAGCCTACGTGAAGCCTACCATTAATTATATTTTTTGTCTTTAATTTTTGATTGATAATACATGTACATGCATCACAGAATTCTACACTTAGTGTACTAAGTGTAGAATTCTGTGACATGCATGTATTTTAAAAAATGTGTCCGACTTAAATCAAAACCATTCACCTGCAACGGAATTAACTGATTGGCAATTAAATTTTGAGGAAGAAATAATTATTAAATCTCCGCGAAATAGTTATCCTTTTATTCTGATTATCCAAGGTTTTCGTAACCGGTAATTTACTTAACCTGCTTAAAAAAAATAATAATTTAAAAACCAACGATAGCTCCAAAATAAGAAGGAAAATACGACTATAGATCTCTACGACGCAGAAAATCACATTGATAATTGATAGGCCTACACAAACATTCTCGGATCTTTTATTAGATCGTGAGTCATGCCCTCAAAAAGATCCAATAGAATCTTTGAAAATAACAATAATAAATAAACAAGGCAGACTACGACTGCTCTTGTTAGGCCGGTTAACTTGGGCCTACATTGGTGTGGGCCCTTTTTACATTGCTTTAACTGCAATACCAGGCCAGGCCAAAGCCTCATGTTTATATTGTGGTGACCTTTGACCTCAAATCTCAAGCTCGGTCGGTGCTCGCTCAGTAGAATCAGAGACACTCAAATATAGTAGAATTCTAGGGCCTAGATAGATTCTAGGCTACTATCAAGGTTTAGATCTAAATCTAGATCATAGAGTGATCTAGATAGATCTGTCAAGCCAAGCGGAGCGGTGCGGGAAGAAGGAGAACAGAGTAAAGAAGAGAGCCGGAGACATTCATTGACTTGAATTAATCGAATGGATTTTGGGGCCTCTCAAATATCAATATCATGTTGATAAAAGATCATTATAATGCTTACTGACACTGTCGACTTAATCTGTCAAGCATGAATTTCATTGTGCTACTGTCATGGAAATCGTGAGGGAACTGTTATCAATCAGGTGACCGCAGTAGAAGTAGATCTAGAATCTAGATATCTACATTCTATTAACCTCTATACAATATTATATAGACTAGGCCTACCGTCTTGTCTAAATTACAGTCTTTTAATAGATCTAAATCTAGATCTAGATCTAGAATCTAGTTAGCAATTTTAGTCTACTTCAGATCTGAATGGCAATGTCAATGATTCATGTTGGGCCAGTCCAGACTCCACAGAGTGTAGAGCCAGAGCTTGATGATGAGTTGATGCAATATCTGGGGACTGTCTCATCATACTGGGTAGTCGTACTCATTGAATTTTTTTTTTTTATTATTAGTATCAAGTCCCATTGTAGGCCTAAAGTCATTCTCTTTCATTTCCCTTTTTATTTTTTCCTTCCATTTCACTAGCAGAATCAGCCCAATTTTTTCTTAATCGTAGCGTCTTTTGTCATGATTTAATTTAATAAGTAGTAAAATGTTTTAAATTGTGAATTTTTTTGTCATTTCAGTCCGCCCCTGTTGATACTCCAGCCTCCAGCCATGGTTTTTCGAGCAGGATATGGAGCTTTGTGTTTGTTATTGTCGGTGGTGTACGCATTTGCTCAAAATGATGCATTTCATGGGTAGGTCACCGCTGTGTTATGTACTCACTATTTTTAAAAAAATAAATATTATTATATATGACCTTTTGATTTTGATTTAATTTGTGTGAAAGTGAATGGTCAGTGAAGAGGCCTACCATTCATTTGTTAATGCGGTTGTGTTTGTTATTTTTAGTACAGTGTGTGCTTTTTTTCTGGTGGTCCGACCAGGACCACGTGCCCATACTCTGGATCGGGTCAGGTCGGGTCGATTAATAACGGCTTTCTAGTGCCCTCTACGAACAAGGCACCGAAAGGCTCTACGAAAGCGAAGACTGTTAAAAACGACTTATACAGTTATATGTGGATGGTTAGCAGACACTCTGGTGGGGTTTGCTTTAAAAATTTCTTTCCTCTATCAAACATCTGTCATCCTTTTCTCTCCTCCTTCTTTTCTTTGTATGTTAGTCTCTCGTATGTCAAGTTCTAATTTGGTTGCAAGTGGCGTAGAACTCATATTAAAATTTAGAACTCCAAATCCAAGGCTGTACACTGATTAATAATTATGTAATGATAATGTAATATGAAGGGGAAAATTGTATGAAATATATCTTTTTTAAAGTTACTGTGTGGGTGGTTGGCGGGTGCTCTGGTGTGGTTTGCTTCTTATTTCAGGCTATCAAACATCTGTCGTCCTTACCTCCCCTCCTTCTTTTGTATGTTTGTTACTCTCTTGCAACACCTCTAATCTTCTGGCGCTCATATACGATGACCTTATGCAAAGTTGCAAGCGCCGTAAAACCTCTACTAAAACAAAACTGAAAAGTTACCTCATCAAAATGTCAAATGTTGTTCTCAGGTACCAAGTGCTATCAGTGAATCCCAGACACAGTGGTGACGTCAGACTGCTCCAGGACCTGGAAGAAAAATATCCAGTTGTGAGTTTGAGGGGGGTTGGGATGGGGGGAGCTCCTTTAACTACATCAGTTTAGTATCGTGCTGTATTCCAGTGATGACAACACTAGTTCAAGTCTCATGAGCTTTGAACTTGGTTCGTGACAAATAGTTTAATTGGCCCTCTAACTACTTAGTAAAGTCCTTTTGTTGAATATGAATGTGGACTTATTTGCTCACTGACTTGAAAGCAGCTATAAATCCTTGCCATACCTTACCAAGTTAAAAGAGAACAATTTAAATTGCCCACTTTGCTGCTATCAGCTTTTCCATTTTTGAATATACATGTGGGTTTTCTATACTCTTTGTAGGAAAGAACACGAGGAAGGGAGAGGTAAGCACTTTGTTCGTGTCATCAGCAAAAATGTTTGCAGTTTTTCGATTTCAGGATGAAGATCCTTTTTTTATCCTTCTCGTTGAAGTTGAAATTGTAAAACAATTCAATAATTGACGATGCTACTTTTTGTGTCATCTTTTTTTCCCCCTGTTGTATTACATTTTACTATTTCCTTTGAATCATTCAGCAGTGTTATTTGTTATTTGCTATTTAAATCTTTTATAAATGTATGTTCAAACCTTTTTCACATTTGTGACAAAAACACATTGCAAAAGTTATTACACAAAAGTGCCAATGTCCCAAAACATGGTGTCAGTTGCTGAATTATTTGGCAGCATTACTAAGGATATTAAAACAAAAAGTGAAAGCCCATAAGTTTGATTTCTGGATCCTGAATCTTCCCACTGTCTCCTCAGAGGAAAGAAAATGCTTGATTATAAAATTAAGTTTTAATTTTTTTCTCTTCCCAGGTTGGAAGAGGGGGAGGGGGGGCGGGGAGGAGAGAGGAGGGGAGAGGAGGGGAGGTTGCTAGTGAAGTGACGAGATAAAAACTAGAGTTTTGTGAGCAGGGTTTAAGACTTTTTTTTTGTATTCATTAAAACAAGCTGAACTGAATAAAGATTCAGCATAATGATGAATCGAGATTCAGCATTGAACTGAGCCTGAGATGATTACGATTCATAAAGTCTTCCTCTTCATACTATGTTATCCAGACTTAAGCTATCATGTAGATGTCATAAGCCCTGGAAAAATTTGGAGTTTTCAACCATTTGGGAGGTGCATTTTCACTGACCTTAATCTATTATGAGTTTCAGATTATTTTATTTACATGGCACTACCACTACAGGGTGTTTGAAAAAAAAAAATCATTAACGCTTGAATTTTGGCAAAGCTACTGACGGTATTGGGCTTTTTTCTCCTTTTTTTTCTCTCATATGTATTAAATATCTTTTTGCCTGTACTGCAAATGTGTGCTCATATGTATCAAATCTCCTTTCTTTTTTTTAGATTTTTTAAATGGGTAATAGATCTACTTGGTTGCAACCTATCTTTTTATGTTGAAAATATCTGTATGTTTCAAACTACTTAAAATCCACAAAGCAAGGAATTAAAAAAAAACTATCATACATCGAAATGAGCTGAATTGAATTAAATTTCAGAATAACAATGGAAGTTTGTTCATGGCCTATATCCAATGGTGATGATGATAACAGTGGAAAATACATTTTCAACTCAAATTTATTTATTGTTGCTTGCTTGTTAATGTGTTTTATCAATGTGCCAGTCTGCTATTTTGTTATCACCTGCTTGGACAAAGGGCTCCCTATCAATGATATCTGCTTTGGTGACCACAAGGCCTTTGACCTTTTTATCTTTAGTCATGATCATCTTCATACAGATCTTCAAGCATAATGATAATGTTTTGATTAGACTCACTGAGTTTGTGTAACTTGCAACCAACCGTCTTGGAGTGAAGGGAATGAAAATAATGATACAGTTTGGGAATTTTCTTTGAAATCAATCTTCAGGGTTCATACGGGCTTTGAAAAACTGGAAAACTCTTGGAATGCTGTTTGTATTTTCCAAGACATGGAAAACTCTGAATTTTGGGAAGTTGGCAAAATTTTTGGAAAAATAAATTTTAACTAGATCTATTGAAAAAGATAATTCCTCTAAGTTTAGAAGGCCTCTACTTTAGGCAGTCTGAAGTGTACGATATGTATTTTTTCATGGTGAACGAAAAATTTTCTTCCGAATTGATACGTTATTTGTCTTGGAAAAAAGAAATCTGGTCTTGAAAACTCTTGGAAAAGTCTTGGGAAAAAAAAATCTCCTGCTTGGTATGAACCCTGGATCTTATCAGGGACAAATTTCCTGTTTAAGAGAAGGGCATCAGTCCAAGTTTGTCCTCACGCGGCTGACTTTTACTCCCCGTACAAAGAGATAATAATTGTATACACTACTGTAAAGTTTAAATTAAATTCTATTTGCACATTGTAGCAAATGCAGAGATATATTGGAATGGTCCAACTTTTTATTTATTCCAGTATGTCTCATTTTTTCATATACAATGTCAAGATTTCCTTGTACTTTCAATCCAGTAAATTGCTTAGAATAGTAATCCAAGAAGGTGAAAATTGGTAAGTTCAGTAGAAAGTTGAGTAACTTTTAATTTTTTTTTAACTATCAACTCATTATTACTCATTTGCGATGACATTGCAACCTGGAACTGCTCTTTTTTACATTTCTAAATTTGTTTTGTTTTTCATTTTTAAACAATCTCTAGATTGACTTCTGGTCAGAGCCATGGCCTGGGCAGAATGCCAGTGTCCTTCTACCTCCTGACTTGAGTCCAGTCTTCAAGCAACAAGTCCAGCGTGTTGGAATGTCCGCCATGCTCATCTCTAACGACGTCAACAAGTAAGGACTATAATCTAGAGATGATGCCCTTTCCAGCTTGTGTCTTTTTTATACATCAGTGTTGTGCTGATATTCTGTTGGTGTGTGTGTGTTAGTTTTATTTGGTGGGTGGTTGGCGGGTGCTCTGGTGTGGTTTGCTTCTTCTTCCTTCCTATCAAACGTCTATCGTCTGTATCTCCCCTCCTTTTTTTGTGTTTGTTACTCTCTTGAAACACCTCTAATCTTCGGCACTTATAGGACCTTATTGTATTGCAAGTGCCGTGAAACTCTTACTAACACTTTTTTTAAAAAGTAGTAATTAATGTTAAAGCTTCTCCAGCTTGTGTCTTTGTTATACATCAGGTTGTGTTGATGTTCTGTTGGTGTGTGTGTGTGTGTGTGTTAGTTTGATTTGTCTCTGTTCCCATGAAGACACATGATATCGTTTTAGTTTTAGTAGGAGTTTTTACGGCACTTGCGACACAATAACATCATATTATAAGTGCTAAAGATGGTGTTACAAGGGAGTAACAAATACAATAAAGAAGGTGGGAAGATAAAGACGATAGGTGTTTGTTAGGAAAGAAGGAGCAAACCACACCAGAGCATCCGCCAACCACCCACCCACGATGCAGCAGTAGCCTACCTTGTTGAACACCAGTATGTGGGTGAATGGCAGGTGCTCTGGTGTGGTTTGCTTCTTCTTTCCTATCAAGCATCCATCACCCTTATCTCTCCTTTTTTTTGTGTATATACATGTCTACTCTCTTGTAACACCTCTTATTATCTTTGGCCTTTATGTGACCTGTTTGTAATGCAAGTGCAGAAAACTCACGTCACTATGTTTAAGGGATCAGAACGCAAATCTCTGGACAAGTGTTACTGTAAACCCTGTCGAGTTATTAAAACAATTTTTTTTGTAAGTATTTTACGGCGCTCGCAACTGCATAAGGTCTTATGGATCCCACCACGTTGTGACACATATAGAAAATTTATATTTTTTTAAATGTAGAAATGGGAAGTGGTCGTTTGTAAAGGTGATTGTGTTATTAATACAGGGAAGTGGGAACGGTTGGGTCGGTTGTATGTACAGGTGATTGTCTTGGACAGGTGTCCTTTAAAGTAGGTTGAACTGTGTATCTTGAAAGTCTTTGGTCTCCCATTATTTCTGAACTGACAAACTCGATCTCACTAAAATGGCAGACTGGCGAGAGAGAGCAGCAAGAGGACACCCTCACATGTCGTAAGGAGGAGGAAAGCAGCCGCAGGCCATGTCGTAGACCACCACAACTACCACAACTATAAAGAGGTAATCCTGAGATCCAGGAAATGTCATCTCTGACGCAAAGGTTAAAATGGTCGCTTTTTAGCACAAGTGGGCTGTCCCGAAAAGTGCTGTTTTGAGAAATTCGAAGGTGTAAAGTTTTTGCCCCTTGTTCAAATTCTTTAAAAGACAAGGAGAGTTTTCTCTATAACCAAACAAATTTACACACCAAAGAAACCAAACTTCTGCTATAGGTAGGGCAATGCCCTCTTTTGGTGTTGGTCAAGATTTCTGGAAACCCCGAAAGTCTGGGTTAGCCCACTTAAAAACGACCAAATGTGATTACCCTCCATCCTTCACGGTCGCGAGCTGCTGTTGCACATTCTGCTGTACCCAGGCTAGACCATGTTTTTATGTTGTCCATCCATGTTACTCTTTGCCTCCCCCTGGTTCTCCTGCCCCACATCCTTCTTTCAAGGATTCGAATCTCATCAGGGGCCGGACGTTGTGTTCTTGGGAATAGCACTTTACACTAATTTGCCTCAATTTATCAAGGTGGGAGTGGGTACCCAGCTATAGAGAGAGAAAAGTCTTGTTAGTTTGTCCAGTGTTTGAGCGCTAAAATTAGCGGCTTGCGCTGTATGCTCCCTAGGATGCTGAGAATGTTTCTGAGTGTTTTAGGGTCTGCTGGGGTAATAATAGCCACTAGTTATAAAGTACATAGAGCATGTTGTAGAGCATGGACATGAGTTTATAAATAAATACAATTATTATTATTGTTATCATTATTATAATTATTATTATTATTATTATCATTATTATTATTATTATTATTATTACAATTTCTATTAATTTAAAAAAAAATTGTGTTAAGGTTAATTTTGTATATTGGCAGTTGGATTTTGAAATTCTGTTAATGAGTTTCGTAGTATTGTAAGATTGAATTGTTCTATTTTTGTTGTTTTACGTCTTTTTGATTATTTCGGTTTTGTTGGAAAACCGATATTTTTTTTGGATAAGGGATTGTTTTCTTTCTTTTTTTTTCATGTGAGTTGGCGCTTTGTTTTGTAGTATTATCATCTGTTTCTACCAAGATTGAGTCAACCTTGACATTGAAAAGAATGAGCTTTTTCAATGAAAAAATGTTTAATCTTTCAGTTCTGAATGTTAAAAGTGTTTTATTATATCTGCTTTTTCTTTTCTCTTCTCAAGTATAAAACCTACTTGGACACGCTGAGACAAGCTTACCCAGCAAATATGGAAATGTCTACTTTACCGAGAAAAACTGTGGAGGGAAGAGAAATGCCGGTGGTTAAGGTAACATGTTACTCGATTTTTCTTCTTTTTTTTCCATAAGTTGAGATTTCAGGTCGCAATTTTTCCGTCAAATTTTTGTTGTTCATCCCTCTCTGCTTTGTCTGTTTCTTTCTTTTTTTCTTTCTTTCTTTCTTTCTTCTTCTTCTTCTTCTTCTTCTTCTCCTCCTCCTTCTTTTTCTTCTTTTTCTTCCGTTGGTTTCTGAAGACTCAGCTGCCTTTGATGAAATAACTATTTCGGTGTCACTAGTAACAGCCTTCAAGAGATGGAAATAAATGTATTATAATAATTTAAAAAATTGTTTTGATGTATTATAATAATGGTGCTGTGATCTATTAAAGCTTTGACAGAAACGACTTTTATATACAGCATTCATCAGCAACAACGCTGTAGAATTATGGTAATTCAATGTAACACTACTGATCATCTGTTTTGTATTGATTTAATGGGAGTCCATATGTATTATATGTTTGATTTTAGCCTGTAAGTACTAGTTTGTTTGTGTGTGAGTTTCTTTTTTGTTTATCTAATCATCATTTTTTTAGCAGCAATATGTTTCTCTTACTGAAATGGTTGCATTACTTAGAAAGGATCTTGTTTAAATTATCCAAAACAAAGATCAACACGGTGCCTTGAGCTATTGTAATTATCAAATTTAATTAATTCACACAGAAATGCTGACTATAAGTAAGTGCTCTTTATCCCACCACAGTTGTCTGGACAAAATTCGAAAGAAGCCAAGTCGGTGGTCATTGTGGAGTCTGGGATCCATGCACGAGAGTGGATTGCTCCAGCTACTGCTCTCTTCCTCATGGAGAAGGTAAAACAAATCTTGTCCATCTTTGTCAACTGCACAGTGGTAGCCAACAGCAATAACATTTATGAATAATCGTGTGATATTGTGTATCGTTGTTTTGTTTTAGTAGAGGTTTTTCGGCGCTTGCAACTGCATAAGGTCATATGAGCATCAGAAGATTAGAGGTGTTACATGAGAGTAACAAACATAAAAAAGAAGAAGAGGAGATAAGGATGATAGATGTTTGATAGGAAAGAAGAAGCAAACCACACCAGAGCACCCGCCAACCACCCACGTGTATCGTTTGATATTGATTTAACTATCCTTTCTTCAGTTATTTAATGAGAATTTTTCATGTATGCATTTTGGGATGGCTGTCCAAAAAGTAAGGCAAAAATGGCCATTAAATAAACAATTTTATATGAATCAGGATAAAATGTACTCATTATGTACTAATGCCATTCAGCTATTTGCCAAAATGATCCCCTTGAAGATCGCTACTTCTTCACCAGCTGATGATCAGAGAATATCTCTGTGTGTTGAAAAGAAGCTGATAGAGGCAGGGAATGCAGCCAGTCTCAGATCTATGCGATGACATCTTAATCTTTTGTGTACCATTAATGGGGATTTAATTAAGATGGTACATTAAGAATTGAATAGGAGAGAGAATGATTTTTTGGTTCCATTTAGTGTGACGTCGTAATGATCCTAGTCTCTTCTCCTTACACTGGTGGTTGGAGAATGCCTCTGGCAGGTCTTAATTCTTTGCTTTCCCTCTGTTGTTTCTGCCTTTCTTTCTGTATTATTACTTTTTTACTTTTTTTCCTGCACTAAATGACCATTTTTGTGTCGATGTGCTTCTCTTTACTCTAATAAACTCATCTTTTTTGCACTTGTTTTCCCCTCTTTAGTTAGTGAAGAGTGGTACATGACCTGAATTTGTATATTATATTTCAGATGCTCCAAGAACACAGACAAGGCATTAACCCTGCCAAAATGATGCTGGACCAGTTTGATTGGTACTTCATTCCTTTGGCGAATCCAGATGGATATGAATTCTCCCATTCTTCATCGGATGTGAGTGTCTCTTTTAATGCTTTAAGATATGCGAGTCATGGTGTTGAAACCTGGCACTCGTCGAAATAATGAAATTAAAGAAACAGACGTTTTCCGCCAGTTGAGAAAATTTTATGGTATTGTTTGTTTCCTGCTCAACACCTTTTTATATCCATTTAAAACATTTCTGTGATTATTTTACTTTTGAAAAACGTTGAAAATGTAAGTTTGCAATTTCCAAGGACACTCAAGCTTCGGAAGTAACCATTCTCTCACTAATTTTACTTCCGACACCAGACGACACCCCCCCCCCCCCCCCCCCCCCCCCACCTTCTTCAGTGGCAAATATCTCAACATCTTTTCACGATAGATGAAGATTTTTTTAACATCAAAAGCAAAACAAACTCCTTATGACCAAAAACTGACGAGCACCTGACTCCACCGCATCTTGACACATATGTGAGGCAGTGTGGCGAAATCAGGCACTGGTCAAAATGATGAAAGTGGAGAAAACTGGCATTTTCCCACAGGTTTTGAAATTGTTATCAAATTTCGTGTATTGGCTCAACACCTTTCGTACCCATTAAAGAACACATTTCTATGTGGATTTAACTGAAAAATGTTGATTAAAGGCATAAAAGATGTAAATTTTCAGTTTCCACGGACTCTCAAGCTAAGGAAATAACGCAACCTTGGCGGCCATTTTTTCGCTAATTTTACCACTGAAACCAGGCAACCCCCACTCCCTTCATTCGCACATAAGAACACTCGGTAGCATTAAGTCTTTTCATTATCGCTGTATTGACGTTGGTAACAGCAACAAGAATGACAACAGCAGCTGAAAGGATAAATGCTTCTGGTCCAGTATTTTATTGAACACCACCATATACAGTCAAATTTCGTCTAATTGCCAACCTTGGGAAGAAAATGAAGCTGCCAGTATAGAGGGGCTGGTGGTGTAGTGGGTTTTTAATTTAATGCCATCCTCTGATGAAAAGCACAGACAGCCCAGCATCAAGGGAAATAATTCTGCCATGACTAGGTGGAGGACAATATTATAATGAGTTATTTCCCTTTGTCCAAAACTTGAGATGATTTTCAGGCTTCCTGTATGCGACGATCGCTGACGCACAGAGTCACATGTGGGAGAAAGGAGATTATCACTGTGCAACTGCCGCTGAGTGGGTATCGTGCGTAGTGTGAACCTCTGGTGGCCAGTTCACTGGCAGTGTTGTGGGGCAAATTTATATATTAGTTTTACAGGAGAGTACAACCCATTCAGTTGATGGAAGGCGGTTTACAGGGGCAAATAGTTTTTTTTTAGGTGTTTCTTTGCATGTATTAGTATTAGTCAAACCTGGTGGTGTGGGTGGTTGGCGGGTGCTCTGGTGTGGTTTGCTTCTTCTTTCCTATCAGATGTCTATCGTCTTTATCTCCCCTCATTCTTTTTTTGTGTTTGCTACTCTCTTGTAACACCTCTTATCTTCGGCTCTTATATGACCTTATTGTGTTGCAAGTGCCGTAAAACACTTACTGAAACTCAAACCTGGTGGTAAGCAGGGATTGCGGTAAACAGGGCTGGTGGTATGATGTGGGGGTGGTATAAGGGCTTCTTCTGTATTGTTTTTTTGCCTGTTTGCATGGCCATGGGCAATTCTACCTGTGCCCAAAATATGTGTAAATATTATGCTCAACAAAAAATTTTCAATCTTTTATTTGTCTATATTTATTATTCGTTCTCAGCCTGGTGTAGCTTTTATTTTCTTATTAGTTCTTATTTGTATGGGGGGGGGGGGGGGGGGGGTTTTTTTTTTTTTTTAATTTGTGTTCATGGGTATGTCTGTATTTTGCAGGGTCGTTACTGGAGGAAGAACAGAAACCCACAGACTGACCCTTGTGTTGGAGTTGATTTGAACAGGAATTTCGACGTTGCTTTTGGAAGTGAGTCACCTGAGAATGTATAGAGGATTGTTTGTATTTAGCGGAGAACTAGTCTCATGTTGTAGTAGTAATATAGTTTGGTCTGCTGCTTCTGTTTCATTTCTGTTTCCTTGTCATTGTAGTCTGTAAAGAGTAAAGTTGTTCCTGTATCTGATCTGGACATTGGGGATTGCTTTGTTAGTGGGACAACTTCCTGGGCCTTCGGCATATTGTGGTAGGGTGGCCAGTTCCTTTCCACGCCGCCTTTACTTCCCCAACTCGAAGCCAGGTACCCATTATTGCTGAGTGGGCAGGAGGGGACGAAAAAAATCTGTGTCCGAACCGAGGCTCGAACCCAGACTTTCCGCTTTGGAGATGAGCGCACTAACTGCCCCGCCACCACACCCTCATAGTCTGTACATTTGCAAATATAGGGCCATTCAAGTGCTGACTTCCTGGGCACTCTAATTAACTCCTTTTCTTCGGCAAGCCGTTCCCAGTGGCTCGTGGTCAGAACTGCTGTGCTGGTGAGCCACTGGCAGTGGCAAGGGCATATTCCTTCACGACGACTTCAACATCAAATGACTGTACAGCAATTGCCAAAAACAGGTCTCTTTTACCTGGATTTTATTCATTAGACAATGAACTATCTAAATAAGTTCACATGTTTTGATTTAATGACCAATTTAGTGACGTATATGTGAGACATGCAGACGAAATGAGTTACTTCTCGCAATCCACAAATGGAGATATTGGCCAAAAATTGACTTTTGGATAAAATTTATAGATTTTCAATTGATGTCGTATTCTTTAAGTATAACACGCCTTTTATTATTTCATACTTACAAATGTGGCACGCTCATATGACCTTAGCAGTTGCGAGCGCCGTAAAACCCTATACTACATACATACATACTTATAAATACTTCACCCATAAGCGCAATGTTTCTATTTCCATTGGGGTTGATTCGGAGAAGTAACTCATTCTGTCAGTACGCTTCACATATGTCAATTTTAGATTTTGTACCAAAAGAGGGCATAGTGGGTTTACTCCCCCATGGAGAAAAAGAGTTAAAAAACAAATTCTTGTAAATGGACTCATTTATCAGTGTCACGCTCATACTGTGTAGGATCTACATAGGGGGAACTGCTGCTTTTTCTTTCCTCATCCTTACTATCGTAATTTTTCCTCTACTTCTTTTGTATGTTTGTCAATCTCTGTGAACCGCTATTTCTGGTGTGCCTTGATAGTCGAAGCAGACTTTGTGCTGTTGAGGCTAGAGAGGTGAGCAGAGTAAGGTTGATTCTCCGTTTGGACTTCTCTGTTGACATCCAACCCTTGGCACTCATATGACCTTATGCAGTTGCGAGAGCTGTAAAACTTTACTAAAACTTTTAAAAAAGAAAAAAATTCTGCTATGCAGAAATACAGAGAAAAATCTCATAACAATGGGCTTTAGTGACTATCTCAGCTCGGGGGGGGGGGGGGGGGGGGGGGGGTTTAGCATAATTGTCACGATGCTGTTTTTGATGTCCTATCGCCCTGAACATGGCTTGTTTTGGGGGTGTTTTAAGGCTGTCTACCCATTTGGCTTGGTGCTATCTGACATGGGTATGAAAATTTTGAGGTCCTTCCCCTTAAATGACCTTACTGTGTTAGTTAGGGCCGTTAAGCCAATACACTTTCGTGTGGCTGGTTAGCGTGCGCTGTGGTGCAGTATTGCTCCCACTTTCCTATCAACCATCCATTGTCTTTATCTCTCTTTCAATTTTTTGTTTTTGTTACTCTCTAGAAACACCTCTAATCTTAGGCACTTTTATGACCGAGCTGTGTTTCAAGAGTGGTATTGGGTCGTTGGTGGATGCTCTGGTGTGTGGTGTGGTTTTCTCCTTTCCTATCGAACGTCTATCGTCCTTATCTCCCCTCCTTCTTTTTTGTGTATGTTACTCTCTTGTAACACATAATCTATTCTTCGGCACTTGTATGACCTTATTATGTTGCAAGTGCTGTAATACTCGTACTAAAACTAAACTAAAAGCAAGTGCGGTAAAATTCGTACTAAAACAAAATGCAATTTTGCAGCCTCAACTCGGCGGAACTGGTGCGACAGCGGCTCCTACCCGGGCAAGAAAGCGTTCAGCGAGCAGGAGTCGAAGAACATCAGAGACCTGTTTGAGGAGCTGCAGGAGAGAGTGATAGCTTTCGTCTCGCTGCACTCGAAGGGACAGGTCTGTTCTGACGCTTAAGTCATTGTTCTTGAAAGTTTCGTGGGGGGACAGGTTGTTGGTTTTTTTCCTCCTGATTTTGTGTCAATAAAAATTGAAAAAATAAATTGGTGTGTGTATGTACATGTGTCGTAAACAAGAGAAGGGAGGAAGGGAGGGGATGGCTTTCTTCAGGAAAAGATCTATTCCTGACAAAACACCGTTTTGTAAAATTCAAAGCAGTTTCAAGATTAAAAGATTTTTGTCAGTGAAACCCTTTAAAAAATGTATTTTTCCTTAATTGGAATTCTAATTTATAAAAAAACTAGTCACAGTATCATTTGGATTTTTTTTTTAAAGTAGGGTTACTGATGAGACTATCAATTTTGCATATAAAAAAAGTATGGTGCCAAAAATGAAAAAAAAGGGCATTTTGTCAGCTTAGGGCAGAGATATGGCTGGTTGGTTTGAGGTGCAATCTCTGCCTCAGAGGCCTCCAAGTTTGATGTGCAGTGATCCGTCTTTCGCTACAGCTGTCAGATGCTTTGGTGTACTGTTCCAACAATGGGGGCTGTCCAGGACTTAATGTTGTTAGCCCATAGTAGCCTCTGCCTTTCTTCTGACCTTTTCTCGTCCAGCTTGCCTTCTAGTATTTCTTCATATATACTTATACCCAAAATCTGTCCCCGTCGTTTTATGCAAGAAAAATTCTGAAATTATGCAAACTGAGCCCAAAAATGTGAAATTATGCGATTCTGGTTTTTTTTTTAAACAAAGAATGATAAAGGAAAATAATCAGAAATTATGCACAAAATGATCAAATTTTGCTAAATTGTGCGGGGTGCATAAAACCACAGGGACAGCAAAATAAATGCTTTTGAAATGGTATGCACTTGAATTGTGATGTGAAATATTTGTATTCCTGCTGAATTCTATATTTTGTGTTTTATTTTTCATTTCCAGTTTCTGATAATACCTTGGGCATATACGTCGTCAAAGAAACCTGATAATATTGATGAGCTGGTAAGTAGATTATTACACTTTATTATCCAACAGTTTCTAGTCACACAGCACGCTGCCTCCCCCCCCCCCATTCTCTCGCAATAATACGAGTGGTCCAGTATTCTTCACCTGTTTAAAACCGCCCTTCTTTTATAGAATGATTAACCTGTAAGTACCCCACAGGGCAGAGCGACTGACTGCAGTGCCTATAGGCCATTCCCAAAGGGAGCATATTAACATTTTATTGTGCACAGTAGAATTGTTAATAGGCTGATTTATCAATTCATATGCTCATACTGTGCCGGAACAACATAGGGTGAACTGCTGCTTTTTCTTTCCTCCTCCTTACTATCATCATTCCCCTCTACTTCTTTTTGTATGTTTGTCACTCTCTTGTGAACTGCTATTTCCGGGGTGCCTTGAGAGTCAAAGCAGAATTTGTGCTGTTGAGGTGAGAGAGGTCGCCGTAAAACATTACTAAAACAAACAAACACAGCACACTGGACCATGGAGCTAAATAGTTGTTGTTTAAATCCCAGGCTCGATGTTCTTAAACACAGGTTATTTTGTGGAGTTTTTAAGGCTCTCAACCCTTTGGATTCAGTCCAATAAAAAAATGGACGTTAAATTCGGAGGCCCCACCTCTTAACTCTTTATCTCTGGCAAGAATGGGGCTGTCGATGCCAAACATGGCTCAGAAGTGTATTCTCATTATGTGAATAGCGAGTAGTTGCAAGTGGCGACTTACTTAGGGAATCTGTAAAAGTTCTGCCTACTACTATATTCCTAAGTGTTTGCATCCTTTGCAGTTCAGCATCTGTGGTGAAAAGATTAGGCTTTTTTTTTTGTTGCAATCAAAGGATGAGGCCAATCCCTGTATCGTATCTTTTTTTCAGAGCATGTACATACACGTACACACACAATCACACACACACACACTCACACACACACACACACACAACACGCACACAACACACACAAAACACACACACACAACAGACACAAAACACACACACACTCGCACGCACACACGCATACACACACTCACACACAACACACTCACACACTCACACACCACACACTCACACACATGCACACACACACACAGGCACACAACGCTAAAAAAAACACACATACACAGACCACACACCCCCCCCCCCCACACCCACACACACAAGGTGTCCCTTATAAGGTTTTGGAAAAGTTAGCAAGTCTGTGAGTTTGTTGTGTATAAGACATAAGATAACAACTAACTGAAGCTGTGGTTCATTTTGTTTGGTACGTCTGTATGATGGTAGTTTTTTTGTTTTTTTCCATTTCTCATTTTTTGTGTGGGTGGTTGGCGGGTGCTCTGGTGTGGTTTGTTTCTTTTTTCTTCTTGTCAAACACCTATCATCCTTATCTCCCCTTCTTCTTTTTTATGTTAGTTACTCTCTTGTAACGCCTCTAATCTTCTGGCACTCCTATGACCTTATGCAGTTGCGAGCGGCTTAAAACCTCTACTAAAACTAAACATCTTTTGTCCCCAGAATCGTGTGGGCTCAGACATGATGGCGGCTGTCCGAGAACGTCATCGCACAGACTACACGTACGGCACCGCCTATTCCTTGCTGCATTGTAAGAACCTTCTTTTTTGAGTTATAGTTTGGTTGTTTTTTTAATTGCTGGAGGCTTCTTTTTGCGTTATAGTTTTTTGCCGGGTTTTTTTACTGTAAGAGCCTTCTTCCTGAATTATAGTCTTGTGGGTTATTGGCGGGTGCTCTGGTGTGGTTTGCTTCTTCTTTCCTATCAAACATCTGTCGTCCTTTTCTCCCCTTCTTCTTTTTTATGTTTGTTACTCTCTTGTAACACCTCTAATCTTCTGGCGCTCATATGACCTTATGCAGTTGAGAGCGCCGTAAAACCTCTACTAATACTAAAACTGAGTTATATTATAGTCTTGTTTTTTTTAAGTTGTAAAAGCCTTCTTTTTGAGTTTTAGTCTTGTAATTTTATTTGCTAGAGCCTTCTTTCCGAGTTATAGTCTTTGTAATTTTACAGTGTGATAGCCTTAATTCTGGGTTATAATCTTGTATTGTGTCCCATTCAACTCCGGTCAGCCCTGACAGGCAGGGCTGGGTGGTTGGCAGGTGCTCTGGTGTGGTTTGCTTCTTCTTTCCTATGAAACATCTATAGTCTTTATTTCCCCTCCTTTTTTGTGTTTGTTTCTCCCTTGTGAGGGTGCAGTGGTGGAGCGGTTAGTGCGCTCGTCTCCGAAGCGGAAAGTCCAGGTTCGAGCCTCGGTTTCGGACATGGATTTTTTCGCCCCCTCCTGCCCACCCAGCAGTAATAATGGGTATCTGACTTCGAGTTGGGGAAGTAAAGTGGCGTGGAAAGGAACTGGCCACCCTACAACAATTTTGTCGAGGAGAAAAGTGATTGTCTTACACAGGTGAAAGTCCTAGACACTGTCATTTTAATGTAAACACGAATGCGAGGTGGGAGTGGGAAGTGGTTGTTCATCCAGGTGATTGTCTTAGACATGTGGCTGTAAAAGCAGGTTTGACTGTAGTCGTAAACCAACTCACAGTAGGCTTACATACTGAACTTAAAATTCTCCCCAGATTCAGCAACTGGCACCTCGCTGGACTGGACTCTGCAGCAAAAGCCCGGGATCTACGTCTATAACTTTGAGCTGCGACCGAAAAGAAACGACCCGCGTGCCTACATGCTTCCTGCAGAGGAAATCGTGCCTACGGGAGAGGAGGTCTACGCAAGTGTTGGAGCTATGGCCCAGAGCATTAAGAATCCATTATTTTCTGTGGCAGAAGGGATGAGAGGAAATGTTAACTACACCTCATATATTAACAACAGAGAAGGTCCTGGAAATCTCGGGGGGAAATCACAATCAGATAATATTGTGTTGATTTTATGTTTTGTGTTGGCTGGACTGATCCGTCAATGGCACCCTTTTAGATTTTTCTAAAGTGTTCTTCGTCATAATTTATTAACTGTTGTAAGTTTGTTTTTTATGGTGTGGTATGATGTCGGTCATGATGCGGTGTAATCAGGTGCTCATCAGTTTTGGGCCATATGGAGTTATTGGTATCATCTTAAAGTTTGTTCATTTGTCGTGCTTTCGATAAAGAAAAAAAACCCCTCATTTTTCTGAAATACAAGAGATATTTGCAGTTGAAGGAAATGGGGGTCCCTGGTTTCAAAATTTAAATTATTGAGAAAATGGGCGCTAAAGTTTGGTTATTTCCATAGCTTGAGAGTCTGTAGAAACTGAAAATTTACATTTTTCGTGTGTCTTTAATTAACGTTTTTTCCAGTAAAGTCCACACAGAATTGTATTCTTTCATGAACGTAAAAGGTGTTGAGCCAAAAAACAAAAATTCTGTAAAAACTGCAAAACTTGTGTAAAAATGCCAATTTCTTCAATTTCATTATTTTGACGAGCGCTTGATTTCGCCACGATGCCACACATACACATTCAATGCCTTTTTCAAGTCTGTGTTGTCCAAGAGGGGGGACATCCAAATTCAACTTTCACCTCCCATTTGACAGAGCCAAGTGTGTGTGGAGCCTTCAAAACCGGGTGACTGCCAGGCCCCGGGAATCCCGGGGACTCCGGGAATAACCCAGGAACTTGATAAAAATCACAGAGACCCGAGAATGCCCCGGGAATTAGAGGAAATCTGTAAATTGCCCAAGTAAAAGCCGTGAAGACCTGGGAAAATGTATAAAGTGCTCGACTATTTAAAAAATCAAATCAGATAAGGTCAGTAAGTTCATTTGTTCCGGTTGCAATTGTTATATATATTCCTTCGGCTTTTCCCGGTTTGAGAGTATGTTTCATGCGAGCAGCCAGCTATGGCGGCGGGAGGAAGTGTATGTGACACCGAGGCTCTATCGGGAAAATCAAGATCTACTTTCGTTGTCATTACCACCCAGAACTTTGCCGGATTCATTTTTATAATAGTTTATATTATAAGAACAAACTGAAATACTTAAGTCACACAAGACTCCAGTGCCACACTGACATTTGGTTGACTGGATATAATGTAAGCTACGTTCTTGTGTGTGTATATATATATATATGAACTATATTTATTATAGAAATATATATATAAAACATATATTTATATTTAAATGGAGCACGTGCTGTAATTGTTGTTACATTTGTATCAACGTGAAATTAGGAACACAATGCTAGAGCTAACAGAACAGACGACATTTTATTGGTGCTCAGTTACACCGGAAGTTCTTACAATAATTGTGCGAGGATGTTATTAGACTGAGCGATTGTCTGTATGACGCATCGCACTTTACGTACTGAACTTCTCCACAAACATAATAAGATCCTCAACAATTGTCATGTAAAATGCCCCTGGAAAATGAATTGCACCCCTGGAAAATTGAGAAGCCCGTCTAGCAGTCACCCTGCCAAAAGCTTCCCAGACGATCTAAATTCTTGAAAATCCTGATGAGGATTCGAATCAAGAACGCCTGCTGTGTAGACCAGTGTAACAGAAACTGAGGTACCAGAGCACCCATTCGCCACTTACTCTGATCTGATAGTGGAAAGATTTTTCTTCATTTTGAAATACCCCTTTTAAAACGATTTTATTCTGTTGGAAAGGCTGATGGTGAAATTTCAGACTGGCATTTTTTGGAGAATCTTTTAAAATCATTTCTTTACAGACTTAACACTTTGCAGTCACCCAGTCAGCAGTACAAAATACTCCATCTGGTCACCCAGCCGGGAGAATGACAGCTACGGACTGCTCAGGTCTGGCGCAGAAGTGCGCCAGGTGACCGGAACGAATAATTTTCACCGGCGCATTATTGGGTCAAGTGACTGCAAAGTGTTAAAATAGTAGTGACATTTAAAGTAAGCATTCTGTGATGACAGACGAAGCTCACTCTCCTTCTATCCTTGATATTACTTGGTTGAAATCCTCTCAAGTTTACCACAGGTTGGAGATCCCCCACTGGCTGGGTCTTACTCTTATCGTTCCTTTTTAAAAAAAAACAAATTATTTTCTTTTAAATGTCTATTTTGCTCTTTACCTGCAGTAAATAACAAGTTAATGTCATGAGATGATCATTCTCTTCTTTTCTGATCGTAAGTTGTTCTAGTTTTCCTATGGAATTACGTTTATAGTCGGGAAGGAAAGTTAGGTTACAGATCTTGAAGATTAGCTGCTCTCAGACATGATGGTTTTTCAGCGTTCTTTCTCGTGATCCGAGTAATCCATTTATTATTTTTGTTTTGTTACCCATCTTGTTTCAAGCATCCACTGTGCCTTTGAACACTTTAAAAAAAAGCTTCTGTTGGCTTTTGTCAAAGGAGCTGTTTAATTTGGTATGTATGAAGTATTAACCCTATCCGTACATCTTGTTTTACTATCGTATCCATGCGACCTGGGGAACTCTGTGCCACCACCTTCCAAAGAGGAAATTTACTCGTTAATCCGATCCGTTCGCTTTGCTTAGCAGTCTGTCAAAATGATTTTTTGAGATGCCGAAAGTGTCAAAGAGCTCTTCGTACTAGGAGTATTCTAAAATGGGAAGAATACAACCGTATGGGGTACAAAATGACCCTAGGGCGTACAGATAGGGTTAAGAATGAGATTTACAGGGATTGCCTTTTGAGTTGACATTCTTTTTTTTAAAAAGTATTACTACGTTATTGGTCTCATTGATGAGTATTATATTGTATTGATGGAATCCACTTCACTTTTTTTCAACCTGTTTTTTAAAGATTACTGTGATGTTGTACAATCATAGTCCAAGGTCCACAGTGTGTGCTTACACTTACATCTCAATGCTGTTTTTAGATGTTTTTTATTGTTAATTAAGACTGATTTTGTTCTGTTTTGCATATACACAAGCTTAGATATGGTGACATTTCTTTGGTGTAGTATAGTATACATTTATTTATGCATTGTTTGTTACATTTTGTGTATTGTGTATTGATTGTGTTTCTGCTGTGTTATGAGTATATATTGGAAGTTGAAACGTACAGTACTCAATATTAATGTAATTAACAAAGTTTGCTTATTGTAGAGTGTGACATTTTGTTGTTGTCTGTTATGGTTATTGTTGTTGCCAGTCCAACAGCCTTTAGGTTTGTGCCTTTTTTCAGACCTGCCAACTACCTATAGTATAGATGGAAAAAATTAGATTTGATACCTTTTCTTTTGTCTCGATCTATTTTTTTATCTTTTTTATGATAATTGTCATATGCGACTGTTTGGAATGGATAAGGAAATCCGTATCGTTACAGCATGCTATACGTGACTGTTGATTATTTTCTGAACAACATTTATTTGTTCTTGAGTAGTAGTATTTAGATGTGTAAGTTTAACACTGATGTGTTATTGTTGTTGTTTGTTTTGTTTTTTTGTGTTTTTTTTTTTGGGGGGGGGGTTGGAACTGTCAATTCATTACTTGATTTTTCTATACTTAGGATCGAGGGTGGTTTTGTTGTTGAAGTCTTGGCGACTTCCCCCTGTGCTTTCTGCTTCTAGTTTTCAAGGGTAGTCGATTGATTGCTGGTTCTTCAAACTGCAGTGTCAGCGATTTTTTACTTATGTAACTGTTACAGTCTTTGCCTACCTCATAGGGCCCCTTGCCTTTTGCACTTTGCAGCCACACAGCCAGCCAGTACAAAATACCCCATCTGGTCACCAGGAGAGTGACTGCGACAGATTTCTCGGGCCTGTTGCAAAACTGCGTCAGATGAGGGGAACGGATAATTTTCAGCGTCGCATTATTGTGCCAAGTGATGCCAAAGTGTTAAGTTTAAGGCAGCTACATTCGGAGTTCGAAGGTACTCTATACCTTTTTGTACTGGTGAGAGGATTTTTAGTTTTGTTTGTGATTTATTTTGAATATTTCCCTGGTGGAAGCTGGTCGATTTAAGCACCACCAAGGGATCTTTAACGTGCACTACTTGCACAAGGAATCTCTGATATTTTTGGCCCATATCCGAGAAGGCTGGTGACTTCTGTTTCTATTCACAATATGCAGGGAGTTGGGTTTTTTTATGAGTTCTGAGAAGTTCTCCCAGTTATAGTCTTTAAAGGGTTACAGTCCTTAATAAGTTGTTACCTATCGCACTGTAGTTTAAGTATAGACTCATGTGGGGGAGGAGTTATGAGCTGGAATCTTGTTTTTGGTAAAGGGTGTGGAGAAATATGTGAAGGTCATTTTTTGGGCGTATGGAGTTATTTGTATCGTTTTAAAGCTTGTTAATTGATATCGCTTTTTTTATGCCAAAATACCCGTCTATCTTAAATAATAGAAGTCAAGATATTTTTGATTGAAGGAGGTAGGGTAGCCTTATGTCAGAAGTAAAATTAACGAGAAAATGGGAACCAAATTTGGTGACTTTCAAAGTTTGAGCGTCCTTGGGAATGGGAAATTTATATTTTTTGAGCCTTTGATCAACGTTTTTCTGTCAAATCTGCACAACAATGTGTTTTTACGTGGATAGAAAAGGAGCTGAGCCTAAAGCAAAAATTGATGAAAGTTGTCAAACAGGGGGAAAATGTCCTTTTGTTTGATTTCATTATTTTGACGAGCGCCTGATTTTACCACAATGCCACGCAATGGGGTATGTACTCATATGAGATGGGCAACGCCTAAAATCCCTACAGTGCAGTTCATATGAGTTAAGTATGTTAATTTTTGTAACTATTTTGTGGTGATATCACATCCATATATGTCAATGTATTACAGCTTCTTGCTTGCTTGCTTTTTACACGTTATTTATTTTCAGCTCGAAATCCCTCATACTTATGCACCCACCTACTTACTTACCTTGTTATTTTCCATTCTTTGCCAAAAGTGTTTAAAAATGTACTTTTAAAAAATGATTTGATTATTGAATGTATAACTCACAGCGAAAAGTGTTCCTGCCTTCTAACTGAATGTTCAATTTCACAAAGCAGTTTGATGGTCTTTCTCTTTACAAACCAATCTACATAGTGACAATGAAAAAAGTACACTGGAACACTGACAGTGCCAACATAGAGAAAGAGAGAGAGAGAGAGAGAGAGAGAGAGAGAGAGAGAGACAGAGAGAGACAGAGACAGAGAGAGAGAGAG